CTTGAAAATTTGACAAAGGAGGTTGGATTAATTATGAGAGATCCCTGGTTTGTGAGGATTAAAAAAGTAAGAAAATGATAGTGTCATACTGCCATAATCAAAAGATATTTTGCCACCTGAGTTTCTACTGGTTTTCAACCTGTCATCTTCTAGAGTGAAAAATTACTAACATATTCAATTAACATTTCTGAAGACATTTATCCAATGAAGAATTCATAGAGATTCACAAAATTGAAAGACATTAAAAAAAAGAGGCATATTCACAGATAAAGACATTGAGTCTCTGGAGCATGTCCAGAGAAGAGTAAAGAAGCTGTGAAGAGTCTGGAGCACAATCCTGTAAGGAGTGGCTGAGGGAACTATTATTTTTCAGTCTGGAGGAGGCACAAGGAAGAGCTTATCGATAGATCCCTACAACTACCTGAAAGGAGGTTGTGGGGAGGTGGAGGTTGGATTTCTTTTCCCAGGTAACTAGTAATAGGATGAGAGGGAATGGACCCAAGTCTCACTAGGGGAGATTCAGGCTGAATATCAGGAAAAATTTATTCTCAAAAAGAGCAATAATTCATTGGAACAGGCTGCCCAACCTGGTGGTTGAGTCACCGTCTCTGGAGGTGCTGTGTATGAAAGTGGCACTGAGGGACATGGCACTGAAGGATATGGTGGAGATAGGTGGACAGTTGGGCAACTAGGTGATGATCTTAGAGGTCTTTTCCAAACATAGTGATTCTATGACTCCATGAATAAATTTGTCTTAATGTAAATTTGAAGAAAAAAAAAATGTATTCTTTTCTGTACTTCAAAAATTAATTGGTAATTCATATGACACTTTTTCTGACTCTTCTGCCTTCATTTGTCATTACGTCACAATTCTTAGTACTACCTGTAGTTTTACTGATAGTGAATCTAAGTTTTATTTCTGATGTGGATTGAACTCAGCCAGCAGAACTGGCTCCATCCCCTGAGAGACAGGAGAGAACAGGAAGACCAACAATGAAAATAAGCGAAGAAAAGATGGAAAAAAACAAAGCAACAAATAAAGAAAACCAAACAACCCAGAAATAAAGAACACAAAACGAAACAACCCAGGAAATCAAACAAAAGATAAAAAGGCAATTGCTCTCCATCTTCCACAAGCAGAGCCATGCCCCAGCAAGTCTCCTTTGAAAGGCTAACTTGAAAGATTAAATCCCTTGGTTGTTAATGCTGAACATGAAGTTAAATGGAATGGAATATCCCTCTGTCCCGTTTGGGTAAGCCACCTCAGCTATGTTCCTTCCCAGACTACTTGCTCAGAGCAAGAAATAGAGTCTTCACACTCTGCGAGCACTATTCAGAAGCAGCCAAAGCCCTGTGGTGCTAGCAGAACTGTTTTATTCACAAATCCAACAAATAACATTATACAGGGTGCCATGAAAAAAGTTAATTCTATCCCACTGAGATCTTGTATAACCTCTTAAACTGTTAATGAACATAATGACTGCAGACAAAATACTAATCGTGCAGGAAATGCTTCTCTGCATAGTTCTGAAATGCTGTTAGGAACTCTCTCATCCATGTTTCATACATGCTTTATACAATGCTTTCAAAATTAGAGTTTCTTCAGCTAACAGAAGTACCTCAAAAAAGCTCTGTTGACAGATACTTGACAGAATTTATATCAAATTAATTGAACAATTTGTTACCTGCTCTTTTTTTGAATATTACCATGCCCTCTGTACTTTTAAAATCTTCAAGTATTTCCCCTTATAGCTTGCCTTTTTGGCAGAGGGGATGAGGAGGGGGAAGTTTTTAAGAAAAAGATAAAAAAAAAATCCCTCTCCCAGTTTCTTGTGTTCAAAGTACTCAGAAGTCTCGTGAGTAGAAAAACATTATAGGTGATTAATAGTCTCAGTAATTCATTATCTTCAGTTGAGATTAATGCACTATAGTTTCTTTGAATTTTCAAATAAATTATCTGTACACCAGCTAACATGGCGTGCATATTCAAGTATGGGCATGGAGATTCTTGCTTTGCACATCAAATACCACCTCACATCAAATACCATCTCCAGACAGTCATATATTTTCTCACGCATTTTAGAATCATAAAACCACTGAGCAGGACCCTTAAATATAACCTAGACAAGCCCCCTTGCCTGACGCATGTATCACGTGTGACATTCGTTAATAGTTCCCAACCAAATGATCACGCAAACACTCTTTTATGAAACAACATTTTTTTTGTTTATTTCTATATCTTGATATACACTTAGGTTTGGAAACATGGCTATGTCAAGTGAAAGAAAAGTGGGAGGGATGCTTTTTCTTACTAAAAACCTTCAGACATCTAACTGTAATAGCAGAAAGGATTTACTGACATAGCTGTCATCTTTCACACAACTATCCCATGTAATGCTACAGGCTGGAATGGTCACTAGTGGAAAAGGTCCTGGGGGTGGTGGTCAGCACTCTGCTGAACATGTGCCAGTAGTGTGCCCAGGTGGACAAGGAGCCCAGCAGCATCTTGGCTTGTACCAGAAACAGCCAAGTGAGCAGGAGCATGGAGGTGATCTTCCCTTTGTATTCAGCTCTGGTGAGGCCACATATTGAGTGCTGCATTCAGCTTTGGGACCCTTACTACATCTCATTGAGTCTCTGGAACATGTCCAGAGAAGGGCAACAAAACTGGTGAGGGGTCTGGAGCACAAGTCTTATGAGGAGCAGCTGAAAAAACTGGGATTGTTCAGTTTGGAGAAGAGGAGGCTCAGGGGAGACCTCACTGCACTCTACAACTCCCTGAAAGGAGGTTGGCCTCTTCTCCCAGGTAACAATGACATTTAATGGCATCAAGTTGCACCAGGGAGGTTTAGATACACTGTCAGGAAAAATTTCTTCACGACAAGGATTACAAAATGCTGGAGCAGGCTGCCCAGGAAACTGGTGGACGCACCATCCCAGAAGGTATTTAAAAGATGTGTGGATATGGGGCTTAGGGACATATTTTAGTGGTAGACTTGGCAGTGCCAGGCTAACAGTTGGATTTAATGATGTCCAACCTAAATGATTCTATGATTCTAATATCTGCCTATAAAACTGGTGGAACATTCTGTTGCCACATGTGGGGCCAAAATCTTGTTACTTAGTGATAGAGTACAAAAAGAATGAGTAGTTTATGAAAAGTTACCACTTATTATTTGTTTTCTTTCTTGCATTCTGAAATCTCTAGAGCAACAAACCCCCTTAGGAACAAACCAGACTCAAGGACAAGATAAAAATGATAAGAATCACGTAGGAAAATTACCTGAAGGTGAAATTATTTAGGAAAGGCAAGACTAGAAGTGATGATAAAATTTCTGTCTGCGTTCTGGGCAAGTCAACTTGTTTCAAATGGAGGCAGAAGAAGTGGATCATATCAAGGCAAATAATTCAGAAATCGGAAGAACTCCATATGTGAGTTATATGTATACATATATTGTATGTATATAGTTCAAAATAATGGGACAATATTGGACAGTAAGACGTATAAGCGACATAGAGAAGTCAGTCACCTTTACCAAAATTACCGCAGTTATGTGTTCATGTAAGTAAAGACAAAGCCACAATGGCTCCTTAGAATTTGCACAGCCATATCTAACTTATTTTGAATATTTGACACTGTAAGCATTTATCTTGAATGCTGTTCAGTTTGAGTGCTTGACTTTAACTGCCATGAGCTTTTAAAGCTGAATTCATTGTTATTAAAATAATAAATTTAAATCTGAGGGTTGAATAGATTTGCCAGATTTTTGCCAAAATCTGCTGCAATTTATATTGATGGATGTTGGTGAGTTAAAAATTCAGATAAAATATTATATTATGCTACTTTTATCCAATAATCTTCTAATTCTAATTCTTCCCAGCTAGCCTGTTTTTACTGAAGGTTGAAGTTTAACAACACTTCAAGGAATCAAACGAAGATAGTGTCACAGGTATTTTAGTCCTCACACAACATTTTCCTGGGCAACAGGCCAAAAGATTTTGTTCACAGTACTTGACCCTGAGCACTTCTGCTGTTGCCCTTCATTATTAAATAGCAGTACTGCACCATATATATCCTAACTACAGCTGGTCTCCTCCCTCCCCAAACACCTTTTACTGAAGGCAAAGTCTTGCATATATTTAAACCTATACGTGCAAGTCATTTTACGACAATAATTTAGAACTGAATGCTGAAACATGCAAAATAAATTTGCTGTGGACAGTAATAATTAGAACACCGCAGCCCACATTTGCAAAGATGCACACTGTCTGAGAAACCGTAACAAAGTATAACACAGGGGCAAAGGCGCTGGTCAGCGATTCGAAACAGCAGGAAATGGGGTTTGCTGGAGTGCGTAGCTGTGAAGAAGGCATTGTTAGAGAAGACGCGGCTTTGGAAGGGGAACACACTCATCAGTCTCTCAGCTTGCGTTACTCGGTCATCGCAAAAGCCTCGCCTGCACTCCTGTCCTCTTCCCCACCGGCTCTGACCAATAGATTTATTTCAGCCTTACTCCGGGCCCCGCACATCGCAACCGCACGCCCCGGGGAGCAGAACGGGTCCCGGAGCATCCTCAGCGCGGCCGCATTGCTCCTTCACCTTCACGTATTTACAGACGCCTCTCGTGCGGCGCCGCACCGCACGCGATGGGGCAGCCCGGCAGAGCGCAGGCCGCTCCGGGAGGCCCCGGCTCCACCCGAGGGAGGCCGCTGGGCCTCCAGGCTCTTCCCGGCCGTCTCTCGGCGGCGGCTCCCGGCCCGGCCGCTGGCGGCAGCACCGCCGGGCGACGGCGGCCCCTCCACAGCGCCGCCTCCTCGCGTCCCGCGGGGAAGGTCAGGGCGGCGGTAGCGGAAGCGTCTCCCTCCCGGCTCCGCGTCCCGGAACCAGCCCCGCCGTCCCGGCGCCGCCACCTGCCGCCCCCGCCGGCAGCATGACAGCGGCCGCCGCCGCCCGCAGGTGACGCCCCGCGGGCCCTTCCGCCGCCGCCGCCGTCTCCTATATGGGCCACCTGCTCTCCAAGGAGGCCAGCAGCCTGAGCCGGGACAGCGGCGGCCGCCGCCGCCGCCGCGGGAGGAAGGTGCCGCCGCGCAGCCGGAGCTGCTTCCTGCGCGGGCCCTGCATGCTCTGCTTCGTCGTGCACGGCGCCAGCTCGCCCGCTCCGGAGCCGCCCGTGCCCGCCGGGGACCCGCTGCTGCCGCCGCCCTACGCGGCCCTCGCCGCCGCCGAGCAGCGCGCCGCGCGCCGCCTCCTCCGCCTGCCGCCCGCCGCCTGGGAACCGCGCGGCCGCTGCCGGCGCCTCCTCCTCTCGGGCCTGCTGCCCTCGCCGGTGCGAGGCCTCCTGGGGCCGGCCGGGCCGCCCGGCGAGGCCGTCTCCGAGATGGTGTGCAAGCGCAAGGGGGCCGGCCTGCCCGCCTGCCCTCCCTGCAAGCAGCCGCGCTGCGCTGCCGGCGCGGCGGAGCCCGAAGCCGCCGCCTGCCAGTGCCCCGCGGAGCCGCAGCCCCGCGCCCTGCCCTCGGCCGCCGGCGGCGCGGGGAGCGGCGGGGCCGCGCCGCCGAGGTGTCCCGCAGAGGACGAGAGGGAGAAGGAGGGAGTGAGGGAACGGAGCGGCGAGGCGGGCCGCGAGGAGCCGCTGGAGCAGCCCGGAGACGGCTGCCGGGAACCGCCGCCGTCGCCCGACATCAACCAGCTGCCACCCTCCATCCTCCTCAAGGTGGGTCGCGGGACCGGGTCTGCCTTTAGGACCGCGGGGGCCAGTAGGCCCCGGTGGGGCTGCGGCCGCCCGTCTTGCCCCGTGAGTCGCGCTTCAGCCTCCTCATCTGCGGCCGCTCCTCGGGCGGGCACGGACGGCGCTCGTCGTGCCCCTGCCCGTGTTCCTGGCCCGGGCTTCGATGAAGCGCTTCAATTCCAGCCTGTTGCACGACTTTGTAATGTGCCTTGCACGCGTGGTGCTCTCCGGCTAGGCTGTTCGGGGTCAGGCTGTCGCTGAGTTCGGCTCGTTCTGTGCGAGTCAGAGCAGGTTCTGCTGAGGGGCACGCAGCTTCTTCCAGGCTGTGTTCTGAGTTGGTTTTACCGATCTCCCCAGTCATTCTGAATTCTTGTAGCACTTCTGTGTTCTTTAACGGCCGTTGCTTTGTATATGCCAGGTCTTGCTTTGCTTCCTCTCCCTTCTGCTATGCTTTGGTTCCTTGGTTACTGTTCTGTTTCTAGAGTAATTTCTAGTTTCAGGCTGCTCAGTCTATCAGTCTGCATACTGACGTTCTTCAGCTGACCGAAAGAGAAGCCTTGCTGGAGCTGGAATCTGCAGTGTTTTCCATAGTTTGTTGAAAGTGTGCCTACAGACTGGAACCAGTTGGACTTGGAGTACTGCAGTCGTTTTCTTTGGGGTTAGATGGCTGATCTTGGAGAGTGGTGACAGAGCAGTGTGACAGATGGCCCTTCCTGTCTGTGACCAGATCTGTATAAACACTGGTTGTGCAACCCCGGTGCTGAAAGCGATTTCTGAACTCTTGTCCACAAACACTGACAACCTACTATTGGTCTTCCATGTAGAGTTAAGTCTGTGCTTGTTTTTTGTTCTTTTTTATGTTGTTGTTATTTTGGAAGTTTGCATGCCTGTCTTAGTTATGTTGTAATGGTGCACAACTTTTTTTTTTTTTTTAATTTTTTTTTAACAAATTCACTGCCCAAGTTCCCCTGTGGCAGATATTTAAAAAATCACAAACTATTATATTTGACTTAAACTCCTCTATGATTCTGTAATCAAAACTCTGCCTCACAGTTCTACTAAAATAAAGAATCCATTTCTTTGCCACTATTAATTTAAGATCATAGAATCATAGAATTACAGTTGGAAAAGAACTCCAAGATCATCTGATCCAACCATTCACCCATCACCACTGTGCCTGCAAAGCCGTGTCACTCAGTGCCACCTTTACTCTTTTCTTCAGCACTTCCAGGGATGTTGACTCCTCGTGTTATCCTTGGTATTAGGCTGTTAGGATTTGAAATGAGACTGGCCTAAGTACACCTTAATGACTTTTTCTCATCAGTGGTATGACTTTTGTAGTCTCTTCAGCATTTTCCCAGTTTCACATTTTCAAAAATAGCAGTTTAACACAGTCAGAAACTGGTTCTTACAATAGTGGGGCTTTCTCATGCTTCTCTCACTTGCAGGTAGTTTAAATGTGCTTCCCTGTGCCTTCCTGTTTTATGTTCATACAGTGCCATGGTCATACCTGTATTCTGAGGGTTTCTTTTGTGTATTAGGGTTTTTAGTTTTAGGGATTTTTGTTTATTAGGGTTTTGTGCTTAGGGTTTGTGAGCAGCTGGAAATTTTTATTTCTAATTCCTTTTGAACAACCAATGGGATGGCCTTATCAGGGGCGATTTAGGTGTATTTCAGCTTGCCTTGAAACAGAGACAGGAGCTCTTCAAATGAGCGTTTGACCCTTTTGACACCTTCTGTATCAGTTTGCTTCTTAGAAGCCATTGTCATCCGAAATCCGTGAAGAAAACTCTTAATTCCAATGTGGTGTTAGAAAGTGACATTTCTTTATTCTTCACATGAGCACTGGGCAACTTGACAGGAAAGCACACCCTCTTAGAGTTCAGGTTCTGCATTTGAACGGTTAAGTACATAGGCATAGATATTCACAGCATACATTCATTCTCTTTCAAGGACTGGTAGTTATGTGCTAATGCCCCTTTGGGCATGCTCTGTGGTATCTAGGATGGTCGAGTGCCCAACTGTTTCTTCCCTTTTCTTCAACATCAGCTTAACCACCGAAGCCTTTGACCCACTTCCATCCACTTTCCCCCAGTTTGGAAGATTCTATTGCTTAATAGGCCAGTTAGCCACTTTATGAAAATGGTGTATGTGAAATCTGAGGAAAATGTCCTTGCATGTTTTGAGACAAAACATAGAGGTGTTCTATTATGAAAACAAGGCTATTCACCCACTAAAGCTGGAACAGAAAGTTTTTAGAACTATCTCTTACAGATTCTTTTTGCTAAACTAATATGTTGGTTCTTAAACTGATGTACTAATCCTCCTTGCTAAACATACCAACCTATATTAGTTTTCATTGGTTTATTTTATCTAGAACTTGTTTTCAGCTTTGAGAAGAATTATGGTTGGTGCAGAGGTAAATGTTCTTTCAGTCTTAACTGATTCTTGTTCTCTAGCAATGTTAAACAAAGTGCTGTTTTGTTTTCATGAAGCTTGCTGTCACTGTATGACTACAGTAGGAAAATGAAACATCTTTTAACTTTGGTGTGCTGATGCTGTGCAATTTGTTGAACTGATGGAGGTGCAAAGAAAAGAAAATTCCTGGAAGAAAAGTTTGCCAATATCCTGGTGAAAGTAAAAGTTGTGTATAAATGTTGTCAATAGTAAAATTCTGAAAGAACGTAGAATCATTTAGGTTGGAAAAAGCCTTTAAGATCATGGTGTCCAGTTGTTAACCTAGCACTGCCAAATCTGCCACTACATTTTCTCCCTGAGAACCACATGTATATGACATAAATACCTTGGGGATGTTGGCTCTGCCACTTCTCTGGACAGCTTATTCTAAGGCTTCAAAACCCTTTCAGTGAAGAAATTGTACCTGAACTTCCCCTTTTGTAGCTTGAGGCTATTTCCTGATATATTCTGAGATTGGTTGCAGAACTGTAAAAATAAGTAGATATTTTGCTTTCCCTGGTGTGTGAAAAGGTTGTTTTTGTATAAACATGTAGGTTTCCACATTACAGAATTAACTGTGTGATAGGAGGGACAGAAATCATGGAAGGAAATTACTACTTCTCCTGAAGGTGAGTGCCTTGGCACTCGTGTTTATCTTAGCTGACCTTGGGCTAACATGTCCAAAAACCTTTTCTGGATTTTGTTCAGGTGTTTCTAGGATTTCTTTGCATTGCTGAGACTGGTATTTGAGAATGGTGATCCAAGTTGTGCAGTGTTTGAATGCAAAGTTATTAAATTATAACGTTTTCTTTTTTTTTTTTTTTTTTTTTTCATGTTGTTCAGAGGTGCCTGTGTTTGATCTTTAGCAGATTTTAGTATGTTTTACTGTCTCTATTTTAAAATGTTGCAGTGATTCACTGACAGCTCGCTCAGATATCTTTTACTGAGGACACTGGCACTGTGGGTGGATGGGGATATAACTTTATCATCCCTGTCAAGTAAGGATATTCTTCTCCTTAGTCAGAACCCTTCTTTCTCTTAGTAAGAAAGGCATGGCATCAGTGTCTCCAGTTAACTTCCTGAGGGCTTAAACTAAAGTTTGCATTACAACTAAGCCAGTCTGTTGGCAAATGGCTGTTAAGAGCAGTGTTCATCACTTTTGTAACCCCCGGATGCATACTTTTGCTGTTCCCTTTGTGCTCTGCAGAGTGATCATCAGACACCAACCTAATGTTGCAAAACTTTTCCTCAGGATCAGGTGTGCCTGAAAAGACTTTGTCTGAATGTAGTCACTAAATTCAGCATAGCAGGTAACCAGGTGTAGTAGGCAAATAAACAGCCTCTGCTAATTGTAGCTTACCGTGGGAATGCTGGTTGTGTTGTGAAAAAGTCACTTTTTCTGGCTGTCACACTTGTGTTAATTCCTTCTGACTTGATTTCCTTTACGGGTGTACAGAGAGAGAAAATGGTCTTTTTTTCAGAGACGTTTTCCTTGAGCTTTTAAATCCTCTCTATGTACTCAGGTGCTCATGAGTCACTCATGTTTCCTTTAGCGTGAGAGTATGTGTGGATAAAATGATAAAATCTCTCAAAAACTAGGCAAACACTCCCCTATCCTTTGTTTATCTTCTGTTGATAGAAGATTGATTAGTTTGCTGAAACAGAATGAAAAAACATAAATGCACTAGAAGCCTAACTTCAGTATGCCTGTAATTAATTGCTGCGTTTAACTGTTCATGGTAAGATGTCATATACTAAACACGTTCCTTTAATTATCAAATATAATTCCTAAGTACTGTTTAATAGGTCTTCAATTAGTTGTTGTAAAGCCTTGCACCCAGCTGATGAAACAAATGGGCAGTTTTCCAAGAATTAATTTTCCAAGTTCATTAGGTGCTGTAATGAATAGCAGCATGAAATATTTCAGTTTACATTTTACTGTTTTCTGCCTAATACTGTGTTCTTGCTAATAACATGAACTTTTAGGCTTCAGAACAGTTCTATTTGTCATGACATAATGGAAACAATTGCTCAAATGCCAGTTTTTTTCTTAGCTACAAAATTTTTTTAGGAAAAGGATCATATAAGCAGAAGCCTTCACTCTTCTATTAAGGTTAGATTTGAATCACAGAATTGTAGGGGTTGGAAGGGACCTCCAGAGATCATCGAGTCCAACCCCCCTGCCAAAGCAGGTTCCCTACAGCAGGTCACACAGGTCGGCATCCAGGCAGGTCTTGAACATCTCCAGAGAAGGAGACTCCACCACCTCCCTGGGCAGCCTGTTCCAGTGCTCCGTCACCTCACTGTAAAGAAGTTCTTGAGCACATTGGTGTGGAACTTCCTATGCTCCAGTTTCTGGCCATTTCCCCTTGTCCTGTCTCCACTCACCACTGAAAAGAGTCCATCCTCACCACTATGGCCACTACACTTCAGATATTTATAAACCTGGATCAGGTCCCCTCTCAGTCTTCTTTTCTCAAGGCTGAACAGACCCAGTTCACTCAGCCTTTCCTCATAGGAGAGATGCT